TCTTCATTTGGGTTTCAGTAATTCCTCTTGGTTACATTACCCTTGATCACACCCTACCAGGCCTCCTACACCCTCCTCACCATCGATTTGGATCACTTGTTGTTCCCTTGTCCCTGAGTTTATTTAAACACCACTACCTTTCCCCCCACCTCCCCCTCTCCCATGTCCCCCAGGACTATCGGTCCCGTTGTTTTCTCCTCCAGATTGTTCATCCAGTCTATCTTATTTAGACAGACCTGTGGAGATAATAACATGCACAAAAACAAGACAGAGCAAAACCGAGCAATAATATAAAACAAAACAACAACAACAACAAACCAATGACAGCAAAACACAACAAGAAAGAAAAGCTTGTAGTTAGTTCAAGGACTGTTTGTTGGCCTTTAGGAGTGTTTTCCAGTCCAGTCTGTTGGGGCACCATGCCCTGGCTCCAAAGTCCACCTTCGGCATTCCCTGGGGACCTCGCCGCTCTGCATCCCTTGCTGTTCTTTTAAACCCCCTTAGCGTTTTGCCTCGGTGTGGCGGGATCAGATCGGGTGCATTTCCCACGCTGTGTCTCCGGTGTTGACTCCTGTAGGGCTATGGGTCAGTGAGGGACGCAGTGTCTCTTAGTGGGGCCAGCCATGTGGTCCTCTGTGTGCACTGGCTGCTCTAACCGGGAACATCGTCCTCAAGGCCTGGTGGACCAGGATGTGCTCCACTATCTCCTCCTCCCCCTTCATCTGCTCCCATGTGCTCCGATCAGACATGTCCCTCTCCCGGAGCTGCAGATCCATCATTTTTTTAATGGCCAGTTTTCCGTGTGAGGAAATCACGGTTGCTGCAAGGCGGGCGACAGTGAAGTGCCGCTGTGGTTGGTGTTAGATGCCCTTGGGGCAGTCCTGACTCACGGCGACCTCAAGCACAACAGAAAAAGCACTGTCCCGCTCTGCATCATCCTCACAGCCTTTGCCAGGTGTGAGCCCATTGTAGCAGCCACTCCGCCAAGCCATCCATTAGGGGCTTCTCATTTTCACTCACCCTCTGCTATTTAATGTAGTTATTTACCTGGTGGCATTAAATCAGGTTTGGTCAGCCTTGACACCGTCAATCCTGATACCTTGTTTTGAGGGTGTGGTCCTGTATTGTAGGGTTTTTAGCAAAATCCCTGCCTCTTTTCTGCCATATGCCAGTAGCATCTGCCAGATGTCATGCTGGGAGCAGAGTTGCACCTGGCTGGGAACCCCTGGGTGAGTCTGCCGTCTTGCTAATTGTTTTCTGCTTGTCATGTCTGTTCCTTATCTCCTATTTTCTTTTGTCCTGCTGCATTTTAGATTAATTAAAAAATAATTATTTATCTCTATTGTGGTTATTAACCTCAAGGTCCGTGATTTGAATCCACGGCAGGAAAAAGATACGGCTGACTGTTTCCATAAAAACATACAACCTCAGAAACCCCTGTGAGGTTGCTATGAGTCAGAATCAATTCAGTGGCAGTGGGTTTGGTTTTGGTTTAGGGCGGCTCATTAATCTGAGCCCTGGTGGCACAATGAGTAAACTAAATCACATAGCTGCTAGCCAGAGCTTGGCAATTAGAACCGGGCAGGGGCCCCGTGGGAGAGAGGTGGCAGTCTGCTAGCAGGAAGCGTACATAGAGTTGGAACCCCCATGGAGCCGCTCTAGTCTGCCCTGTACGGTTGCTGGAGTTGAAGTCAGCTCCACAGTAGGGGTTGATTTTCCTTGGGGATGGTTTATTGGGCGCTAAAGAGTAGTGAGAGTAGTGGGTTATACACAACTGGTCAGCGGTTTGAAACCACCAGCCACTTCTTGGGAAGAAAATAGGACTCTCTGTTCCCATAAAGATTTCTTTTTTTTTAATCATTGTATTGGGGCTCACACAACTCTTATCACAATCCATACATCACAATACATACTTCAGTTGTGTAAAGCGCACTTATACATTCGTTGCTCTCATCATTCTCAAAACTCTCCCTTTCTGCCTGGGCTCCTGGAATCAGCTCCTCCTTTTCCTTTCCCACCCCTCCCCCCCTAAAGATTTAAAGTCTCGGAAACTCAAAGGGGCAGTTCTACTCTGCCCTTTTACGGTCACTGTGAGTCAGAATTGACTCGATAGTGGGTTTGAGTTCTTTGGAGATTGTTTATTAGGCTCTGCCTCTGTGTTGTTATTTTTTAATGGCTTCTATGATGTGTGTGTTATGTGTCTTTAACTTACCGCATTCTGCCCTCAAATAATATCACACCATCCTGCAGATTTTAAACCATGAAGTTTTCCTTGTTATGTTCCCACAAGTGCGTCTTGATCCATACGCAAGTTCCGAATGAGCACAGTGAAGTGTTCTGGAATGCCCATTCTTCTCAGGGTCCTCCACAGTTTATTGTGGTCCACATCCTTAAATGCCTTTGCATAGCCCATGAAACAGGAGGAAACATCTTTCTGGTCTTCTCTGGGTTTGAGCCAAGATCCATCTGACAGTAGCAATGATACCCCTTGTTCCACGTCCCCTTCTGAATCTGGCCTGAACCTGTGGCAGTTTCCTGCAAATGTACTGCTGCCACCATTGTTGGGTGATCTTAAGCAAAATGTTGCTTGTGTGCAGTATCAATGATCTTGTTCTGTAGTGTGAGCATTCTAATGGGTCACCTTCCTTTGGAATGGGCACAGATATACATTTCTTCCAGTCAGTTGGCCTGGCAGCTGTCTTCCAAATTTCCTGGCATAGACGCGTGAGTGCTTCCAGTGCTTCTTCAGTTTTCTGAAACATTTCAGTGGATAGTCCATGAATTCCTGGAGCCTGGTTTTGGACTAATGCTTTCAGTGCAGTTTGAACTTCTTCCATCAGCACCGTTGGCTTGCTCACGTGCTTCCTCTTGATATGGTGGACTGTTGACCGCATCAGGAAAGGTGTGCATCAGGGTTGTATCTCTCACCATATGTTTTCTATCTGTATGCTGAGCAAATCATTAGCGTAGGTGGATTATATGAAGCAGTGTGTGGCATCAGGATCAGAGGAAGGCTTATCAACAACCTTTGATGCACTGATGACGCAGCCTTGCTTGCTGATAGTGAGGAGAAATTGAAGCACTTGCTGATGAAGATCAAGGATTATAGTCTTCAATATGGATTACAACTCAGTGTAAGGAAGACCAGAATCTTCACAACTGTATCAATAGATTCCATAAGTGGAGAAAAGTTTGAAGTTGTCAAGGATTCTGTCTTGCTTGGATCCACCGTCAATGTTCACGGAAGCAGCAGTCAAAAGATCAAAAGACGCATTGCATTAGGTAAAACTGTTGCCCAGCCCTCTTTAGAGTGTTGAAGAGCAAGAGATTACCTTGAGGACTGAGGTGCGCCTGATCCAAGCCATGATATTCTTCATTGCGTCATATGCACTTGAAAGTTGGACATTGAGTAAGGAAGACGGTAGGAGAATCGATGCATTTGAACTGTGCTGGAGAAGACTATTGGAAGTCCTATGGACTGCTGAGAGGACAAACCAATCTGTCAAGGCCAGAGTGCTCCTTAGCGGCAAGGATGGCAAGACTTTGCCTTACACACCTTGGACATGTTGGGAGAGACCAGTCCCGGGAGAAGGACATCATGTTTGGTAAAGTGGAAGGGTGGTAGATAGGAGGCAGGCCCTCAGTCAGATGGATGGACACCGTGGCTGCCACAGGGGCTCAGGCACAGGAACAGTTGTGAAGATGGCACAGGACCAGGCAGTGTTGCCTTCTGTTGTGCATGGGGTGGCGATGGGTAGGAACCATCCTGGTGGCACCTGACAACCACTGCTGTGGAGCTAATGCATGAGCCACAAAACATACTTGTTTCATGGTTGGAAGCCACGGATAAAGCACTTTTGAGTAGATTTTCCTCTTACTGATCCAAGGAGCAAACGTGTGAGGCAGGGACCCTTCAGGTTCAGGGTGGCTGGTAGACTACAGCAGAGCTTAGACTGGGGCAACACTTCTCACTCCCCCCTGTTCTGGGACCAGAGACTTCTCTCATGCCAGCTCACTGGACCTCTCTGGACAAGACCGTGTGGTCCTCTTTGTAATGAGCCCTGGTAGTGCAGTGGCTAAGCACTCAGCTAACTGGAAGGTCAGTGGTTTGAAGCCACCAACTGCTCCTCAGAAGAAAGACATGACCACCTGCGTCCATAATGACCACCTATGGGGCAGTTCCACTCCGTGCTCGAGTTGGAATGACCGCACGGCAACAGGCTCTGATGTTCTGGGATGGTTGTACTTGACAACGTGCTAGATTGACTCCGTGGCGCACCAGTGGGCTAAAGACATAGCAGTTGTGAGGACAGGGCAGGACAGAGCAGTATGTTTCATTCTGTGTACATGGGCCCACTATGATTCGGAGCCAACCCAATGGCAACGCACAACGTGATTGGCCAGCATTTCCTTCGTCAAAAAGGAGGTGTTTGTTGTTTGAAATGCTAAAAGCCTAGAAAGAAAAGGGAGAGGGAGGGAGGCTTTTAGCAGACTAGCTTGTCTTTCTGGCAGGAAGTCCAGGCCGCTCCTGATGGAGTGAGTGCTTGTTCCAGGTGACCTCGGTCTGGCTGTGCACTTGGCAGCGCTGCCTGCTGGCAGGTTCCCTGGTTGGCGAATGTCCCCTCTTTCAGGGGAAGACGGAGTCCATCACGGTGGTGAAGCTGCTGAGCTGCTTCGATGACCTGGTGGCGGCAGGCACGGCCTCAGGCAGGGTGGCAGTGTTTCAGCTCGTGTCCTCCTTGCCAGGGAGAAATAAGCAGGTGAGCCCTCAACATTGCACGGGGTCTTGGGGGCACAGAGCCTAAGCGCTTGGCTGTTCACTGAAGATCGGCAGTTTGAACAGAGGGAGGTGTGGCTGGCTGTTCCCACAAAGACCTGCAGCCTTGGAAACTCCAGGGGCTGCTCGTCTCTGCGCTGCAGAGCGGCTGTGGCTCCCAGTCGACTCCAGGGGCTGCTCATCATGGCAGCCTTTCTTCGCTTCTCACCACGCTCCTTGTGGGTCTTATCTGCCTGGCAAGTCCATGCTGGGGAGAGGGTGGAGGAAAAGCACCTGGGTACTGCCCCTCTTGCTGTGTTCTCGGGGGCTTAGGGAGGAGGGAGTGTGTGCCGCCATGGTGTCCCTGCCGCCCTCTACGTCCCTCCAGTCTATTTTTGCCGTTGATTTGTAGCTCCGGAGATTTGACGTCGCCAGCATTCACAAAAGCAGCATCACAGCCCTGGCTTGGAGCCCCAATGGAATGAAGTTGTTCTCTGGAGATGACAGAGGGAAGATCGTCTATTCGGCTCTGGATCTAGACCAGGTAACTTGGTCTGCACGAGCGGCCTGGAGGGACCGTCCTGAAAGTGCGCATTGTTCTCCGTTGGCTGCATTCCCATCCCTTTAGACTCGCATAGTTATGGGTAGCCGTTTCTCTCAGGGCTTTTCTGAATCTTTGTCTGCAGAGTTGTCAGCCCTTGTTTTTCCTGGAGGCTCACTACTTAAAAACCAGGCCCTGTGTTCACAGCCCCAGTGCCTGCAATGTCCCCCACCCCTCCTCTCCCTTCCCCCACCCCCCCTCCCCGCCCGGTGCCCTGAAGGTTTGGGGGAGCCATGCCAAATGTTTTCTTGTCTCAGCGATGGGTGGCAGTGGCACCCTGGCCGGGGAGAGAGTCTCGGAAGAAGAGGGGCAGGGAGGGCTGTTCTCCTTGGCCTCACCACTTACTCTGAGCAGGGAGCACTTGTCCCCAGCAGCAGGGGAGGAGCCAGACTCAGAGGACTCACTAGCTCACCCAGGACCGCAGGTTTATCCTGGCAGATCTGAAGGTCCAGCAAGCTTTTGCCCCAAAGCCCTTGCCTGCTTTACTGCACACATTGCCTGAGCCTTGTCTGAGCTGAGTGCATCTGTCTGCCTGGTGAACCTGAGCTCCTGGGGCCCCATCCTCTCCTGATTTGTAGCTTTCCTGCTGGTAGAGTCCCAGCCCTTGTTAGCCTGACCCAAGCCTGGGCCTTCTGTTATGAATATTCACTGCCCCCCATTCTGGTTTCTTGAAAATGGCCTGGGAGCCCATAGTGCATTTGTTTGTGGGGATTCTATCTGTGGAGTGTATCATGTCAGAAATTGGAAAATATTTGCTAATTTATTTTAAAACAACGAAAAAGAATGTGTGCTGATAAAAAGGACAGCTTTTTGTTTTGCTTTAAAAATAACTATTTTCTAAAAACAAAACTAAAAAGTGAGGTGGTGTTGATTTACATTTTTGCAAGTTCCTAGTGTTTAGCTTCAGAGAAGACGGCTGGGTTCTGTATTCAGCCTGTCGACTACATGCTGTTGGTTGGAGTCTGCAAAGCAGGGGCCCTCGAACTATGGCCCGCGGGTCACATGCGCGCCCCCCC